CCCGCTCCCCGCCGGTTCCTCTCAGCGCTGGCCGCGGGGAGCCCCGAGAAGCGGTCGGCGCTGCCCGTGGTGGACGGGGGGTGGTGGCGGCGGTGGTCATGATGGTGGTGGGGGTGGTGATGGTGGGGGTGGTGATGGTGGGCCGGGGGTCGCACTCCTCGGGTGGGCACGGCGGTGCCGCGGCCGCTGCGCTCCGGCCGCCCCGGACAGGCGGCTCTGGCCGGGTCCCTCCGGGGCAGCGCGGGGCTGTCACAGGTGTCCCGTCCCCTCCCGGAGTGTCCCGGAACCCTCCACGGTAGTGTGGGCTGTCACCGGTGTCCCTCCATCCCGTCTCTCCCGAGGTGTCCCGGATCCCTCCGGAGCAGCGCGGGGCTGTCACAGGTGTCCTTGCCCCTCCCGAGGTGTCACGGTTCTTGCGGGGCTGTCACAGGTGTCCCGTCCCCTCGGGGCTGTCACAGGGGCGAGCTCAGGGCTGTCATAGGTTTCCCCCCTTCCCATCCCCTCCCGGAGTGTCCCGGCTCCGCCGCGGCGAGAGGAACGCGGAGTTTCTTTGTTGTGTAACTCTTTTTGTCCGGGGATTAGAGAGGGTTTACGGCTTTTTGTGCTGATTCAGGTGGTTTTTTCTTTTTAAATGCGGGATAGTCATGGGTAAATTCCACTCGGGGCTGGGATGTCGGAGAGCTTTCCTGTGGCTCGGGGTTGTTCTTGGCTCCGGCCGCGGAGTTGCCGAGCCCGCTGCCCCAGCTCCGGGCCGGGTGCGCTCCCGCAACGCTGCGGGGACATGGGAGCGCCTTACGGACAGAAAAGTGAAGCGAATTTGCTGTAGCAAACCCATTTCTCGCTAAAACGAACCTGGCTTGTAGCCCGCATTTCATCTGCGAGTACTACTGCCAGAATTTTTCAATAAACGTAATTGCAGTCGAGAGAGTTCGGGTCAAGCACTTTGCCGGGTAGAGCAGGCATGAAGCCTTTGGAGTAATTCCTCTCCGTCTTGCCAGTGAATTTTTATCTGGCTGCATAGTGGAATTTTTCTCGAAGTTTTTTTTTTTTTTTTTTTTTTTTTTTTTTTTTTTTTTTTTTTTTTTTTTTTTTTTTTTTTTTTTTTTTTTTTTTTTTTTTTTTTTTTTTTTTTTTTTTTTTCCAGCTATCTCACAAGTTTCTCTCTCAATAGTTTTTAATTTAATTTTTTTTTTGTAGATGATCAAGGAATGCCCTTGATCATCAATGTGCTTTAGTAGTGCATTTTTTTAAAAGCACTTTTTTTTAAAAGCGCTTTTTTAAAGCGTTTTTAACACTTATTTTTTAACCTCCTTTTGTCCTCTCTGTGTTTCTTTCTTGGTTTTTTTTTCCCCCAGTCCGTGCTTTGAGCAGGGCAGCCCACACAGTATGCTGGGGGACTGGGAAATGCTTCTCTGCCTGTCGCTGGGATGTGTCAGTGTTTGGTTCTCAGCAGCAGCACAGGAAGTCTCACCACCCTGACAAAGAGTCATAAAATATGTTGAAGATTTGTTACTAAAAGTGGACTAAAGAAGTGCTAATTTTGTGTTATCTTTGGAAGAAATGATAAGTCATTTCTGACAGAAACATATATATATATAGCTTTTCAAGGCCCTGTTGGGTTTTAAAAAAGGTTGTCAGGGAATTGTGAAGGATTTCCTGTGGAATTGCTGGCTTGGTACCACGCACAGACTAATTGTAAGAGAAAATTGAAAATGGCTTCCTACGTCTGACAGATGGTTTTAAAAATTTCCTTTTCAGGTTTGACTCGATCTCACTAAACTGCAGCCATGGTGCAGAAGTACCAATCCCCCGTACGGGTGTATAAACACCCTTTTGAGTTAATAATGGCTGTAAGTATTAATTTTTGCTGTAGTTTTCCTCTTAACAGTTTTTTGCATTGCTGAGTACTTGCTGGGCTTTGTTTGATAGATACTGTAGAACATACAAAGCTGAAAACAATATGCAAAATATGTGTTTAGATGGCTTCCTCTCTGYCCAGAGTATTTTCTTAACATAATGTGCTTTCCTTTTCTCCAAAAGTTTAGATACTGTTTACAGATGTATTTGAAAGTTAGARCAAAAGTAGGATTGAAGTGTAGTGGAAGTTTATTACTGGGGGCAAACTCTTCTARAATGGGAGGAAATGTCGTTTACACTGATGAAAACATTGTTATGGTTGTGTCTTCATCAGTGCAGAGTTTGCAGGACTGGAGAGCACAGAGAAAGCCATGAAAGCAACGATATGCCTGAATGAAAAGAGAGAAAGGACACTGGGAACATTTTGAGGGAAGGCAAGAAAAAGCTTGCTAGGGAGGCCAGAGAGATGAACAAAAAGCCTTTTGGGTGCATGTTGCTAATTTGTGTGAGAATGTTACAAATGGTAATGAAAAGAAAGAAAGTCTAATTAGGTTCCCTCTTCTTACGCCCTCTCCAGCTCTCCCTCCTTTTTTTCCTTTAAGAAAACAGAGTGGAAGTAGGTATTTGACATTTTCAAGTATATTCAGTTGAAACCACAGCTGTGGGGCTCTTGTGAGTTACAGCGAGCAGTTAAAGAGCTTTTCCCTGATAAAAACAGTTAAAACTGAACCTTAATCTAAATAATAATTGTTTGATTTCGCTTGCTGRAAATGCTAAGTTTAATGACTTCAGAGGAGAGTTTTAATAGTGCTCATAGTGTAAATATTTAGATAGRTCACATGGCTTGGAGTGCAGAGTTCCTTACAGAAGTGATCCTTTGCAGTCACAGGGCAAAAAAGAATTAGATCACTCTACAGGGAATACTTGCAGTTCTTTTCTTATTCCTAAAGCTGCCTGCAGTGTTACACATGTAGGTCTTGCTCTTGCAAACACTTCAAGGCAGAGAATGGTTATTTTRCTGAGCAGTGAAGAAGCCAGCTGTGATATGTGTAAGGTCTTTCATGGCTTCAGTAACTGACAGCTGGACTTCAGGTGGTCTCCCAGTGAAATTCGATGGTGTCTGTAACTTTAGCCTTCAATGAGGTTATCCTGGCTCTTAGATCAATCAGCCAAAATTAATTTCTTAAATTAAATTCCCTGGCTGTTTGTCAAACTGATGACTCTTTACCTTGCAGTCGAATTGAAGGCAAAAATTCTTCCCTTGAGTTATTTCTTCAAGGATATTTTGACTCAAAATGCTGACATCAGCTTTGTTCGCAATGCTTTATTTGGGTAATTAGAAACATTTTTGACTATTAGCATTAACTGAGATTTCTCAAACTGTTCTGTGCCTTGGGGATAATATATGAAGAATAATATTTAACAAATAAAGTCTTCCCTTGCATTCAAGCTTTTCTTTAGAAAGCAAGAGTCTATAGTAGGTATGCAACTAGGATTAAACAATAGCTAAAAATTARAAGTGAACTAAGAGGAGATGAATGCTTATAAAAAGACACAGGCAAACAGCATTCTTTTTGAGACTGAAGTTTAGCTGAGCAATAAWACATCTTATTTAGTCTGTGTCAGGACAGTGGTTATCACTTGTGCTTGTTCAGAATGTGAGCATTGGATGAACATCCTCCCCCTGCTATGTTGCTGCTGTTACTGATTTTTAAAACTTGTAAAATTCYTGCTGGTGATCCGTCAAAACTGTCCATGCATTTTCTCAAGTRTATAGAGGAATGTCTCCATGAGCCAAATTCTGTAAGGAATATAAACAATATATGCTGGCTTGATGATTTTTGTTACTGTTTTGTTACTGCTTTCCCTTGGTTGAATAGTGATTGCATAAGTTGRTGGAGTATTTTTGGAAGGAATACTTGTGCCAAATTTTGTGCTCACTAAAGTGGAAGCATTGTGTTGCATATTCTCAAGAAAAAAAGTGCTATAATGTTATTTTAGCAGTGCCAGTGGCTCTTCTGAAACGAGGAACAGCGGCATATACCAAGCTTGAATTTAAAGCACCCAAGAAATGACTTAACATTATGTGTTGTGTTTGATTTTCCTTTGTTCCTCTTTTTTTTTATTTGCATGCAGCCCTGGAGAGAATGTGTCCTCAAACAATTTTAAACCCACACCCCTGAGATACTCATCTGTCAGTAAAAATCCTCTCCGAGGTTTGGTTTGGTCTATGTGGCAGCAGGGTTCTGTGTGCTGAGTTGTCTGACAAAAATCAYTAGCCTGGGTCTCATTTTGCAGGATCCCACCTTCTGGTACTGAGTACTTTAAAAAATTTTATTTGGCCAGTTGTGCCTCCTTCCCTGGGTGTTCTGTGGAACTCAAGAAGTAATTCTCCCTACAGAGTAGTGATGGAGTTCAGCAGTGTCACTGAAGCCCATGTGCTCTGGAAAGATTTCCTGGATGATACGTGTTGTAATTCCAAATTGGAACTCATTAAGTCAAACTAATATTTAGCCTTCAGATAGAGAAATCAGCATTAATTTTCCTTTTCCAGAAGCCACTGAGTGAATGCCACTTGCAGAGTGTGTCATTTACAGTGCAAACTTCCGATTTGCCCACTTTCCCCTTCCTGGGTTTCCAAGAGGCACTTGAGGGAGAATGGAGCACAATCAGCATTCCATTCATGCAGCTCTAGTGTGTTCCCAGGGAACTTTGTTCTCTGGGAAGGGTGACTTCAACTCTATGCTAAAACAAAACCTTGAGTTTAATTCCACTTTGATCTAAGCCAAGATTGACAAGACAAAAGTGTTTTGCAGGCAATTATGACACAAAGACTTCTAAAATAGACAAGAGTCGAAATTCTTAAGTTGAATTGGTGTTGAAAATAAGTTTCTCTGTTATGCTATTCCACTGAAATCTAAAACTCATCTGTTGAACCTTAATAGATTTCTATGACAGTATCCTTAAGGCATGACCCTAATCTCCCAGCTGGGAATTGGGGAGGTGCTGAGGCTGGGACAGAGTCGGGAGATCCATGGCTTCAAGCTTCCAACCTTCCTTCATCATTAAAGTCCAGCTATGTAAAATCTAATATAATCTACTTCCCTTGAAGATTTCCTTCTACTGGAAAATTGTGTGGTTCCAGATAATGTTTRAGATGCAAATCTTTTAATGAAACTATTTCCTGAACTTGAAAAGATTCTAGGATCATAGGCTAGAATTTGCCACATTTTAGTCTTGACACACCTGACACAGGCAAGATGATTTCACCAAATAGTTTCCAAAGCTGACATGATTTTTGGCTGTTCTGTGGAATATCTGTCATAATGAACTTCTTGGAATCTCTATGTGTCACTGGATATGTATTTAAAAAAGCACCCAGAGCAGCAGCTTGCACAGCTGTTCATGAGGCTGAATAGAATCTCGCTTTTCCTCCTGTTCAGAGTTTACGTAATGCTGGAAGCAGCTGAAATGTGGAAAAATGGCTGTTTACTTAGACTCACTTGTCAAGTTACCAAGGTTAAATATACTGGAGAAAAACTGAGGAGCTGTTTTTATGAAACTTCTAAAGATTACAGATTCAATTTTTTTTATATTAGCTTAAAGAGGTTTACATTTAAAGTAATACAGGGACTTTGCTGAATAAGTAGTTCTTAATATTAAAAGGCAGTTAAGAACTTGAATCTTCCTTAGCACACATGAGGCTAAAATTAACTTTGGAGATTCGCAGCTCATTTTCAGTCTGACATACTTTAGATAATTCCCCTTGAGTTTAATTTCCAAAGTAAATTTAAATAATGAATAATCAGCTGCCATGGTATTCCAAGGGTGGAATTTATGMAGATGAAAAATAAATAAGATTTTTGAAAAAGCACACATTGGATTGAACCATTGACCAGTGGGATTTTTCTTTTTTTGTAAGTTTCTGAAAGCTATGTGGAAAATATATTGCTCTTCAGCCCATTTAGAAAATGTCCTATTTAGAGTCACAAATTACTTCATTTCAGAAATAATGTAAATTTTRAAAAATCAATCTCACATTTTGCCATTGTTCTGATGGAATATCTGAAGTATCTCAAGCATGAATCTTTCCTCATAAGCGTAATGTGTAGTGCCTTTGATTATTTTATCATTTTAATGGTTCAAATTTGCTGYTTTTGGACAACAGGCTGACTGATTYTCTTTGGCTTTATAGATCTAAAAACCAGTTTTTGAGATATATCTCATGAATTAAAATGTCCCTAAATTACAGGTAAGTAATAAGGTTGTAAATGGGATAAATACGCTTCAGTGATAGAGTAGATTAGAAAAAAAAATTAATCTGTTTCTTCAGATTGACAAATCAAAGTATCATTCATTGATCTACATTGTAATGAGCTTTCTGATCAGACATTATAATTTCATTATAAAAGTTACTGCTTTAAAAAGTCATTAAAAAAAATTGAACTGTATCAAGCTAAATACTATACCTGCTCATAAATCCTTGCGATTTTTATTCCATCCAGTCTCATTTTTGTTTTTCCTGGAAAAAATTTCATGCCTCATGTGAAGCAGGGCTGGGAGGCTGGTGAGAAAAAAGCTCTTCTGCAAGTGCTTTTGAAAGCACAAAGTGGGCTTTAAATAYATAGAGAAGTATTTTATTCTCCTGATGCAGGTCACTTTTCTGAAAATTTGTCTTGGAGACTTAAATCCTGGGGAAGGGAATAAACTGCTCCCAAAACCACTGAGCTGTTTTCCCTTCTGTTGCAAAACTCCCAGAGTCTCATCTGCATTGCTTCCTATCTTTGTTGAAAACTCAGCCTTATTTGCTGTTGGAAATGTCTTTTAAAGCTGTGGTGGAGCAGAGCCTTGTGTGGAATTTCTGGATTTATTTTAAGTGCCTGCAGTTTCAGAGCTGGTTGATGTTGGTGGTGGTTCCTCTGTTAGCACATTTGTTAGARCAAATGATTATTTGGCCACTTGTTTGGAATAAGCCGTGGGTAACAAATGTGAG